ATGCTCGTAGATTCGGACTGAGGTTACTCTTGATATTCTTAGAGCTCAGTGTTAATCGCAGAGGCTCATAGAGCCAGACTGAGGTTACCCTTGATATTCTTAGGGTTCAGTGTTAATCGCAGAGGCTCATAGAACCAGACTGAGGTTACCCTTAATATTCTTAGGGTTCTGTGTTAATCGCAGATGCTCGTAGATTCGGACTGAGGTTACTCTTGATATTCTTAGGGTTCAGTGTTAATCGCAGATGCTCGTAGATTCGGACTGAGGTTACCCTTGATATTCTTAGGGTTCTGTATTACTTGCAGAGGCTCGTAGATTCGGGCTGAGGTTACCCTTAATATTCTTAGGGTTCAGTGTTACTTGCAGAGGCTCGTAGATTTGGGCTGCGGTTACCCTTAATATTTTTAAGGTTCTGTGTTACTTGCAGAGGCTCGTAGATTCGGGCTGAGGTTACCCTTAATATTCTTAGGGTTCTGTGTTACTTGCAGAGGCTCGTAGATTTGGGCTGAGGTTACTCTTGATATTTTTTTAGGATTCGGTGTTTACACCCAAGGCGCTTAGATGCAAAGGTGACTGTTGACATTCTTAGGGTGCGGTGTTAATCGCAGAAGCTTATAGAGCCAGACTGAAGTTACCCTTGTGATGCTTAGGGTTCATTGTGAACACCCAAGGCTCATAGCGCTGAGGTTACCCTTGAGATGCTTAGGGTTCAGTCTTAATTGCAGAGGCTCATAGAGTCAGGCTGAGGTTACCCTTAAGTTTCTTAGGGTTCAGTGTTAACACCAAGGGCTCATAGAGCCAGACTGAGGTTATCATTGAGATTAGTTGAGTGCAGTGTTAATCGTAGAAGCTCATAGAGCCAGGATGAGGTTACCCTTGAGATGTCTTAGGGTTCAGTGTTAACACCCAAGGCTCTGAGTTACAAAGGTTACCTTTGAGATTCGTATGGTTAATTGTTGATATCTGTTTCTCATAGAGCCAGGCTGGGGTTACCCTTGAGATGTCTTTGGGTCCAGTGTTAATCGCAGAAGCTCGTAGAGCCAGACTGAGGCTACCCTTGGAATATTTCTAGGGTTCGGTGTCAATGCCGTCAGGGCTCGCGGACTTACGGTGACTATCCCGACGCTCGCTGAGAGTCTCACGGAGACAACGCAAGGCCGCGTCGGTCAGGGTCGCCGGTGTCGATTTTGGCGGCAACGCGGTGTTAGCAACACTTTCGCCCCGCAGCACCGGGGGTGGGGGGGGGCGGGGGGTGGTGCCTGGCTTCGATTCGCGAGCCCGGGGAGCGCATTTGCCGCACGGAGTTTGCGTCCCGATCCGCAAGGAGTTGTTTTTGTTTACTTTTGGGTTAGATCGCGGGGATATCAGTGTGTCCGTTGAACCCGCCGCCAGGCGACACCGCAGCGTGATCGGTAAGATTTCGTCGCGTGGACAGAACGTGCCGATTAGTTGCTAGTTCAGCACACCGGTTGTGTGTTGGAGAGTAAACCCACGATATTTACACCTGGTGGACTGTGTCCTTAATTCGCAGTGCCCCCCCTCTCTCTCTCTCTCTCCTTGTCTCTCTCCTTGTCTCTCTCCTTGTCTCTCTCCTTGTCTCTCTCCTTGTCTCTCTCCTTGTCTCTCTCCTTGTCTCTCTCCTTGTCTCTCTCTCTCCTTGTCTCTCTCCTCGTCTCTCCCGCCTCTCTCTCTCTCTCGGCGGATTAACGACCTCGGCGCGTTAGCCGTGTCCGCGGCGACTTTTTAAGGCGTAAGTGGCCTGAAGGTGGATTTGACCGGCGGTGCTAATCCCGATTATTGGCATCTGCCAGGACAGTCACCGCCAAAGGCGGAGGAAAGGTTCGTAGCACTGGTGTGTTGTTTGCACAGCTTTGGCAGCAGCAGCAGCAGCATCATCAGCAGGCCTTTCTCAATCCATTGCTGGATGAGGGCCCTCCCTTACGCCAGTGATAGTGACTCTGCCCGAGACACCGGGTCAAGTCGAGTCGATTTTATGTTTTTGGCTAAATGCCCCGGCGCCTTCATGGAACGGATCAGCCACCCCGAAGTGCTATCACAAATATAACCATGAACATTTTAAAAATAATACAATTCTATACCGCTAAGGAACTTTGTTTCAAGATCTAGGGTCTCTGGGTGTATTTCTCTCTTTCAGGGGGGGGTTTGTAACGGCCGTGTCAGATACATCGTTGAGGTCCTGGGTTCAAGCCCTGGGTCCGGTTGTTTGTCTGAGGGGTCCATAATGGCCGTGGCACAGACACTGAGCCAGCACCGTTGAGAACCTGGGTTCAACCCCCGAATATAGGTGTCTCTCTCTCTCAGCAGTGTCCCCTGGTTGGCATGAGGCCACACCTTGCGCAAATAATGAAATGGAGCCCCTCTACCACGTGCATCACCGACCTCCCCTGCCCTCCGTTACGTCGTAGCCCGGAACTTAGGCCCCACCCCTCCCCCTCTCTCTAAAGGGCGGTGCAGGTGCACCGCCTGTACACTCAACAGCCCCCCACAGGAGGGAAGGAGGGGGCGTGTGATGTGTAGGGGGGGGGGAGGATGCCAGGGAGCGGTGGTGTTTACGCTTTGACGCTGGTACGAACTTTGACCTCGGGCAGGAAATCCTGCCGCCCCCCCTTCTCTCTCTGGCGCTCGCTCGTTTTAGCCGGCAGATAAGATGTTATTTACTTATTTAACATTTACACGTGCACGCATTTATTTATTTTAGTTTGAACAAAAAACTGACTCGGTTAAAAACAAGTCCGGGAGAGTTGGTGCCCGCGCCATGGAATTGAATAACGACGCTTCCCAACGGAGAAGCGGACCCTCCCGACCTTCTGACGGCGACCCGTCGTTTCGTTGATTCCTCACGCCTCGCTTGAAGCCGAGCCGGCCTCCCTGCAGAGAAACATTTGAATATTCGCCGCCGTCATTGGCCGTGGGCGGGAGTCAAACTCTGGTGGCCGAGCTCGTAGCGCGGCGCGCTAACCACCGTACCGCCTCTCTCTCTCTACTCGAAGACTAAGATCCCCCCCCGTACGTCCTTTAACAGACTGTTGGGGCGAGTGTTTGTTAGCGAAGTAGCGCCTGCGAAAGCCAGCACGGCACACAAGGGGAGGTGGGTGGCCGGCGCCACGCCCGGCTGCCTCCGTCTCCCCAGCGGCGATGTTTACACACTGTGTCGGGTACTTTTTTGAGGCCGAGTCGATCTAGGAGAGGCCCAGGACCAGTTCAGAATATCGCCGCTGGTGTCGGTGGCAGTGAGCGGGAATCGAACCCGGTTCGATTGGTTTCAGGCGCAAGCGCGCTCACCGCTGCGCCACCGCTCCCCACACTCAACGACAACAACAACCGCCATTCGCCACTCAGTGGCGGTGATGTCACCACGGCGCTTGTGCCAGGCTAGGTGCGCACACAAACGCGGGCGTGTCGTTGCACGCTGGTGACCACACACACAGGCTCGACTTGTAGCCTCGGTCGGATGTATTCTTGGTTCTTTCGGTAAAGTCAGGTAGAAGGGAAACAATAAAATAATAAAAATATATAAAACAATAACATTCTCACTATGTTTCGACTGCAACACAAGCAATCATCATCAGGTGTGAAAACCACAGCAAGAAAATTTTCAAAATAATAAAAATATAAAACAATAAAATTCTCACGTCGTTTCGACTGCAACACAAGCAATCATCATCAGGTGTGAAAACCACAGCAAGAAATTTTTCAAAATAATAAAAATATAAAACAATAAAATTCTCACGACGTTTCGACTGCAACACAAGCAATCATCATCAGGTGTGAAAACCACAGCAAGAAAATTTGAAGAAAAAAATCTTGCTGTGGTTTTCACACCTGATGATGATGATTGCTTGTGTTTCAGTCGAAACGTCGTGAGAATTTTATTGTTTTATATTTTTTTTATTATCTTATGTTTCCCTTCTACGTGGTGACTTTACCGAAAGAACCAAGAATATGAATCCCTGCAGTCACGAAAGCTTTAAATCAAACTTCATGTTGCTGATTGTTTTTGTGCGGTCATTGGTGACCGTGCTCGCCGCGCTAAACAACAGCCTCGGCTTGTTCGCTCGCGGCTGGGGCGGCTGAAGCCGTAATTCGAACCCGAGGGGGGGGGGGGGTCTCGGTTGTCTGGCTCGGTGTCCCCGACTTGGCCATTGTGAACTTCTTGATGGAGAAGACCAAGCCATTGTGCATCCCCCGAACGAGCGAGACGAGAGAGACACGCCTGGGCCAGGGCTCGGACCCAGGATTTCAGCGCTGCTGCCGGCGTCTCTGACATGGCCGTTATGAACCCCGTGCAAGGGGCGAAGCCAGGGTTTGAATCTTAAACCCATTATCTTAGTCGTGCTGGCTCTGTCTCTGACACGGCCATTATGATCCTCTCTTTATGGAGAGACACCCTGACTCTGGGCTTGAACCCAGCATCTCGGCGATGCTGGCCCAGCGTCTCTGACACGGCCATCGTGAATTCCCTAAGAGAACGAGAGAGAGTCACCCTGACTCTGGGCTTGAACACAGAATCTCGGCGATGCTGGCCCAGCGTCTCTGACACGGCCATCGTGAATTCCCTGAGAGAGATGGAGAGTCACCCTGACTCTGGGCTTGAACCCAGCTTCTCAGCGATGCTGGCTCAGCGTCTCTGACACGGCCATCGTGAATTCCCTGAGAGAGATGGAGAGTCACCCTGACTCTGGGCTTGAACCCAGCATCTCAGCGATGCTGGCTCAGCGTCTCTGACACGGCCGTCGTGAATTCCCTGAGAGAGATGGAGAGTCACCCTGACTCTGGGCTTGAACCCAGCATCTCAGCGATGCTGGCTCAGTGTCTCTGACACGGCCATCGTGAATTCCCTGAGAGAGATGGAGAGTCACCCTGACTCTGGAACCGAACCTAGCATCTCAGCCCCAGCGAGGCCACCCGTGCACCCGCCCCCCCCCCCACCCCCCCCCCCCCTGACAGACTGCGCTTGTGTCGGTGCCGTCGTTTTGCAGATCTGTCACAGGCCAAGAGGAAGTTCGCTCAGTCGCTGGCGAGCTTCAAGTTCGACTGCATCGGTGATGCCTCCACGGACGACGAAGTCAGCATCAGTGAGTGGCGCCGCTCGCCCACTCGCACGCCCGCTCGCACGCCCGCTTGCTCGCACGCCCGCACGCTCGCGTTACCCGCGTCACGTAGCCCGAGTTCTCACGTAGACGTCATTGAACGGGGTGAGGGCGAGGGCTCGAGGTGACGGTGTAGGTGAGGGTGCGCGCACGGTGTCGCAGAACTCGCTTGTTCCCGTCGTGTTTTAGTTTGTTGTCCTTGCGCTCCCACCCCCACACCCCCTTCCGTACGGTGCAAAAGAAGTTCAACATACGTACATACATTGTCATCATCACCACCACCACCACCACCATCATCATCACTACCACCAACATCATCATCGCGTAGATAGAAAATTAATAGACCACGAGGTTTCGATCGCAGCACAAGCGAACCGTCTTCAGGTGAGAGAGAGAGAGAGAAAGCTACTAACATCATCGTGTTTGTTGTCCTTCCACAGCACCTCTTGACTAGCATGTACGGTGCGAAAGAAGTTCAACGCGCACACACACACGCACACACGGATGATAACGAGCCCGCCGGGATAATTAGGGTTCCTTGTTTTCTCGTCGTCGCCGTGACCGCTAACCTGCCGGTCCCCCCTGTGCTCCGTGTCTTTTTTAGCTGGGTCACTCCAAGAGTTCGCAAAGCTCCTGGGCTCCATGGAAGACGAGAGGGAGAGGATGGTGCGTGCGATCGGGTCAAACCGTGCCAGTGTTGAGGCTGCAGGAAGTAACGTTGAGCCTCAACGCTGACACACAGCGCCAACGCTGACCAACAGTCTCAACACTGACACACAACCTTAACACTGACACACAGTCTCAACACTGACACACAGTCTCAACACTGACACACACCCTCAACACTGACACACAGTCTCAACACTGACACACAGCGCCAACGCTGACCAACAGCGTCACCACTGACACACAGTCTCAACACTGACACACAGCCTCAACACTGACACACAGCCTCAACGCTGACACACAGCCTCAACACTGACACACAGTCTCAACACTGAGACACACTCTCAACACTGAGACACAGTCTCAACACTGACACACAGTCTCAACACTGACACACAGCCTCAACACTGACACAAACCCTCAGCACTGACACACAGTCTCAACACTGAGACACACTCTCAACACTGAGACACAGTCTCAACACTGACACACAGTCTCAACACTGACACACAGTCTCAACACTGAAACACAGTCTCAACACTGACCAACAGCGTCACCACTGACACACAGCCTCAACACTGACACACAGTCTCAACGCTGACACACAGACTCAACACTGACACACAGTCTCAACACTAACACACACCCTCAACGCTGACACACAGTCTCAACACTGAGACACAGTCTCAACACTGACACACACCCTCAACACTGACACACAGCCTCAACACTGACACACAGTCTCAACACTGACACACAGTCTCAACACTGAGACACAGTCTCAACACTGACACACAGACTCAACACTGACACACAGTCTCAACACTGACACACAGTCTCAACACTGACACACAGTCTCAACACTGACACACAGTCTCAACACTGACACACAGTCTCAACACTGAGACACAGTCTCAACACTGACACACAGACTCAACACTGACACACAGTCTCAACACTGACACACAGCCTCAACACTGAGACACAGTCTCAACACTGACACAGCTTCAACACTGACACACAGTCTCAACACTGACACAGCTTCAACACTGACACACAGCCTCAACACTGACCCACAGCCTCAACACTAACACACAGCCTCAACACTGACACACGGCCTCAACACTGACACACAGTCTCAACACTGACACAGTCTCAACACTGAAACACAGTCTCGACACTGACACACAGTCTCAACACTGACACACAGCCTCAACACTGACACACACCCTCAACACTGACACACACCCTCAATGCTAACACACAGACTCAACACTGACACACAGTATCAACACTGGCACACAGTCTCAATGCTGACCCACAAGCCTCAACACAGTTTTCGATTAAGTCCGTTTCAATTGTTGTTGCCTTTCCCGTTTGTTTACAGATTGCCAGCGTGTGCGACGTGTTAATTACTCCACTGGAGAGGTTTCGCAAAGATCAAATTGGCGCTGCCAAGGTACGTATGTGAGTCTCCGTGTGAGTCTGTGGGTCTCCGTGTGAGTCTGTGGGTCTCCGTGTGAGTCTGTGTGTCTCTGTGTGAGTCTATGGGTCTCTATGTGAGTCTATGTCTCTGTGTGAGTCTGTGGGTCTCTGTGAATCTATGGGTTTCTCTGTGAGTCTATGGGTCCATGTGAATCTGTGAGTCTGTGGGTCTCTGTGTGAGTCTGTGTTTCTCTGTGTGAGTCTGTGGGTTTCTGTGTGAGTCTGTGGGTCTCTGTGTGAGTCTGTGGGTCTCCGTGTGAGTCTGTGGGTCTCTGTGTGAGTCTGTGGGTCTCCGTGTGAGTCTGTGTGTCTCTGTGTGAGTCTGTGTGTCTCTGTGTGAGTCTGTGGGTCTCCGTGTGAGTCTGTGTGTCTCTGTGTGAGTCTGTGGGTCTCTGTGAATCTATGGGTTTCTCTGTGAGTCTATGGGTCCATGTGAATCTGTGAGTCTGTGGGTCTCTGTGTGAGTCTGTGGGTCTCTGTGTGAGTCTGTGGGTCTCTGTGTGAGTCTGTGGGTTTCTGTGTGAGTCTGTGGGTCTCTGTGTGAGTCTGTGGGTCTCCGTGTGAGTCTGTGGGTCTCTGTGTGAGTCTGTGGGTCTCCGTGTGAGTCTGTGTGTCTCCGTGTGAGTCTGTGTGTCTCTGTGTGAGTCTGTGTGTCTCTGTGTGAGTCTGTGTGTCTCTATGTGAGTCTGTGTGTCTCTGTGTGAGTCTCTAGGTCTCTGTGTGAGTCTGTGTGTCTCTATGTGAGTCTGTGTGTCTCTGTGTGAGTCTGTGGGTCTCTGTGTGAGTCTGTGAGTCTCCGTGTGAGTCTGTGTGTCTCCGTGTGAGTCTGTGTGTCTCCGTGTGAGTCTGTGGGTCTCTGTGTGAGTCTGTGAGTCTCCGTGTGAGTCTGTGTGTCTCCGTGTGAGTCTGTGTGTCTCCGTGTGAGTCTGTGGGTCTCTGTGTGAGTCTGTGAGTCTCTGTGTGAGTCTGTGAGTCTCCGTGTGAGTCTGTGGGTCTCTGTGTGAATCTATGGGTTTCTCTGTGAGTCTATGGGTCAATGTGAATCTCTGAGTCTGTGAGTCTCCGTGTGAGTCTGTGTGTCTCCGTGTGAGTCTGTGTGTCTCCGTGTGAGTCTGTGGGTCTCTTGTGTGAGTCTGTGGGTCTCTGTGTGAATCTATGGGTTTATCTGTGAGTTTATGGGTTTCTCTGTGAGTATATGGGGTCAATGTGAATCTGTGAGTCTGTGGGTCTCTGTGTGAGTCTGTGGGTCTCTGTGTGAATCTATGGGTTTATCTGTGAGTTTATGGGTTTCTCTGTGAGTATATGGGGTCAATGTGAATCTGTGAGTCTGTGGGTCTCTGTGTGAGTCTGTGGGTCTCTGTGTGAGTCTGTGTGTCTCCGTGTGAGTCTATGGGTTTATCTGTGAGTCTATGGGTTTCTCTGTGAGTCTATGGGGTCAATGTGAATCTGTGAGTCTGTGGGTCTCTGTGTGAGTCTGTGGGTCTCTGTGTGAGTCTGTGGGTCTCTGCGTGAATCTATGGGTTTCTCTGTGAGTCTATGGGTCCATGTGAATCTGTGAGTCTGTGGTCTGTGTGTCTCCGTGTGAGTCTGTGGGTCTCTGTGTGAGTCTGTGGGTCTCTGTGTGAATCTATGGGTTTATCTGTGAGTCTATGGGTCCATGTGAGTCTGTGGGTCTCTGTGTGAGTCTGTGGGTCTCTGTGTGAATCTATGGGTTTATCTGTGAGTCTATGGGTCCATGTGAGTCTGTGGGTCTCTGTGTGAATCTGTGGGTCTCTGTGTGAGTCTGTGGGTCTCTGTGAATCTATGGGTTTCTCTGTGAGTCTATGGGCCAATGTGAATCTGTGAGTCCATGGGTCTCTGTGTGAGTCTGTGGGTCTCTGTGTGAGTCTGTGGGTCTCTGCGTGAATCTATGGGTTTCTCTGTGAGTCTATGAGTCCATGTGAATCTGTGAGTCTGTGGGTCTCTGTGTGAATCTATGGGTTTATCTGTGAGTCTATGGGTCCATGTGAGTCTGTGGGTCTCTGTGTGAGTCTGTGGGTCTCTGTGTGAATCTATGGGTTTATCTGTGAGTCTATGGGTCCATGTGAGTCTGTGGGTCTCTGTGTGAGTCTGTGGGTCTCTGTGTGAGTCTGTGGGTCTCTGTGAATCTATGGGTTTCTCTGTGAGTCTATGGGCCAATATTAATCTGTGAGTCTGTGGGTCTCTGTGTGAGTCTGTGGGTCTCTGTGTGAGTCTGTGTAAGTCTATGCCTTCATGTGAGTCTGCAGGTGTGTTATGTAAGTCTGCGGGTTTCTACGTAAGTCACCAGTGACCGGGCTGAGCCCATCAACATTTGAGAACCAGGTTCAATCGCAACTCTGTCTGCGTGGCTCTGTGGATCTCTGTGTGAGTCTGTGATCTCTGTTTGAGTCTATGGGTCTCTGTGTGGGTCTGTGGGTCTCTGTGTGAGTCTATGGGTTTCTCTGTGAGTCTATGGGTCCACGTGAATCTGTGAGTCTGTGGATCTCTGTTTGAGTCTATGGGTGTCTGTGTGAGTCTATGGGTCTCTGTGTGGGTATATGGGTCTCTGTGAGGGTCTAGGGGTCTATGTGTGGGTCTATGGGTCTCTGTATGAGTCTATGGGTGTATGTGTGAGTCTATGGGTCTCCGTGTGGGTTTATGGGTCTCTGTGTGGGTCTATGGGTCTCTGTGTGGGTCTATGGACCCCTATGGGAGTCTCTTACTATCAATGTAACTCACTCGTTCATCGGGCTGTGCTCATCGGCTCGCTGCGCTTGTGACCCCGGGGCAATCGCTGTGGCTGCAGCTGAAACCCGGATTGGAACCCGGGCTCTCAGCCGTGCCGGCTCAGCGTCTCTGACCTCTGGGCCACCTGGCCGCCCGTAACAAGTTTTGAAGTGACCTTGAAACGGCAGCAGTGCTGCCCCTGTTGCCCTTGTTGGCGCCAGTTACTCGGAGAGAAACCCTCGTTATTTTAACAACTTGGATTTAGCCACCACACCCCCTGTGTTTGCACCACCTCTGTGTGAGTCTGTGGGTCTCTGTGTGTCTCTTTGCAAGTCTGTGTCTCTGTGTGAGTTTATGGGTCTCTGTGTGAGTCTATAGGTCACTGATGTGAGTATATGGATCTCTGTGTGAGTCTATGCGTCTTTGTGTGAGTCTGTGGGTCTCTATGCAAGTCTGTGTCTCTGTGTGAGTCTATGGTTCTCTCTGCGAGTCTATGGTTCTCTGTATGAGTATATGGGTCTCTATGCAAGTCTTTGCTGTGCTAATCATTACACCACTGTGGCAGGTCCCTTTGTTTCTTAGTAAAAAAGCTAAACGTGTTACGGCCATCGCTAGAGACATTGCTGCATGTTAAGCAACCCGTTCACTGGTTTCTACTGGTTTTAATTTATGGCTCTTTATCTGAAGTCTATGGGACTTCATGTGAGTCTGTGGGTCTGTGTGAGTCTCATTCACCCAGCCAGTTACTCACACTTACTTGCCCACCTACACACTCGCCCGCCCACCCACGCACTCACTCATCCACCCACTCACTCACACTTTTACATACTCAGTCATCTGTCCGTAAATACGTGGTTACGAAGGCTGTCGTGAAGGTGATCTGAAACTTATTCAAGTTTAGTTCAAAAGTTGTGTTGCTATTAGAGACCACACACTCACCCACTCACTAATCGCTCACACACTCACCCACTCACTAATCGCTCACACACTCAGCCAGTTACCCACACACTCACCCACTCACTAATCGCTCACACACTCACCCACTCACTAATCGCTCACACACTCAGCCAGTTACCCACACACTCACCCACTCACTAACTAATCGCTCACATACTCAGACAGTTACCCACACACTCGCCCACTCACTCATCGCTCACACACTCACAGTTACCCACACACTCACCCACTCACTAATCGTTCACACACTCAGACAGTTACCCACACACTCACCCACTCCCTCATCGCTCACACACTCAGACAGTTACCCACACACTCACCCACTCACTAATCGCTCACACACTCAGACAGTTACCCCACACACTCACCCACTCACTAATTGCTCACACACTCAGCCAGTTACCCCACACACTCACTCACTAATCAACTCGCTCACACAAGCAGCGAATCACACGCATTCACTCACTTGCCCACCCATTCAATCACCCACTCACACTAACCTATTTGTCCTTGTGTAACTCGGGGTTACGGTAACCCCCGTAAAGGCTGACCCAATCTGAACGCAACCTTAAGCCCTAAGAGTTGTTACCCGAGATGGAATACGCAACTGCTGAATCCTCTGGATCGCAAGCGCACCACGGTGGCGAGATGTTAACTGCGTCGCCTGGTATACCGGCGGTCATGGGTTTGATCCCGAAGCCGACGCCTGCTGTATATTCGTAGTTTGCGTGTCTTTCTCCCCTTGACGGACATTTGGAATCAACGCGCGTTCAGAGTATTTGGTTGCTGTAACATTTCCGCGCGATGGATGAGCCACTTTTTTGCCGAGCTTTCGTTTTCGCGATGAGCAGGTTTGTTTGTTAAAGAGAGCTACGGGAGCACAGTTTGGCGGGGGGGGGGGGTACTTCCCCGGTAGAATAAAAACATCATTTAGAGCATTGCCGCCGAGTTCCATTCGGCAGCGTTCCGTGCATTTCTTCTGCGTTCTTTAAGCTTTTAAAGGCCCCTCTTCAGTCACCGTTGGTTAAAAGTTGTTTTTTTTTTGGCCTTCTAAAGAATGCCGTGCTTGTGCGGGCCCTGTAGTGAGTAGGCGTCACGGAATTTTCTGTTTGCTAATTGAGAATGTTTAACTTTTATTATTTTTTATTTTAAAGGGCACTCTGGTTCAGAGTGTTGCGGGACGATTTTTTTAAATCGCCACCACTGCTACCACCACCTCCACCACCGCCACCACCGAAGACAAAGTTCCCCCGTACAGCCTTAACAGAATGTTGAACCGAGTGCTGTTAGCTAGCACCTAATGAAAGCAGGCATGGCACACGAGGGGGTGGGTTACCAGCACCACGCCCAACAGCCCTTGTCTCCCCTAGTGGCGGTATTTACACATCGCATCAGGTTCTCACTTGAGGCCGAGTCGACCTAGGGGATGCCCCGGACCGGTTCAGATCATTTTCACCGGTGCTGGGCGTGAGCTGGAATCGAACTCGCTACAGTACAATATGTACAGTTTGTACAGTGTGCATGCCTCGGTACAGTACAGTATGTCAACAACTATAAAACTAAACTCTTTATTTTACCAAGCAAGGCCCCAACTTGAACCACTGTGTAGCTCTATTTCAGAAGCGACCTGGCCATCACAAATGGTAGCTCAACGGAGTGGCTTATTATCACGTTTAACATTTCCAGCAGCAGCCAAATACTCTAAACGCGTGACGCTGATTCTACATGTGGAGGGAAAAACCGGAGGACTCGGATAAAAAATCCACGTGATCACGGAGAGAGAGAGAGACGCGCAAACTCCAGATATACCGGCTTCAGGTTTGGGACCGAACCCATATGACCTCATGCATACCAGGCGACGTAGTTAACACCTCGCCACCAGGGCGCCCCCAAGACAGTCGGGGCTGTCTTGGGAAAGTCTCTGAGAAAGTCTCAAGACAGTTGCACGTCTACGAAAGGACCCACGGTATTTTATCCGGCCTAGGGCAGACCGCAGTGCAGAAGTTACAACAAAAGTTACCGAAAATTATCGCCAACACTTATCTCTCGCGCCATGGCCGCCCCTACAGTAGTACATCTTGTCGGGTGGTAGCGTGACTACGGAGGGAAAGGGGGGGGGGGGGAGGAAAACCTTCAAATATTTGCCGTAATTTAAACAAAATCCAGTGCTGAAACGAGCACACGCTTGAGAATATTCGCAAGCGCGGGTTTTCCCCTGCGCGTGCCTCCAGCGGGGAAAACTCTCTCTCGCAGTCGTGGTTGGGGTTGGGGTGTGCCTGGTGGTTGTTGTTGTGGTTGTTGTGGTGATCCTCACGCGGTGTGTGCCTGGTGGTTGTTGTGGTTGTTGTGGTGATCCTCACGCTGTGTGTGCGTGGTTGTTGTGGTTGTTGTGGTGATCCTCACGCGGTGTGTGCGTGGTTGTTGTGGTTGTTGTGGTTGTTGTTGTAGTGATCCTCACGCTGTGTGTGCGTGGTTGTTGTTGGGGTTGTTGTAGTGATCCTCACGCTGTGTGTGTGTGGTTGTTGTGGTTGTTGTTGTGGTGATCCTCACGCTGTGTGTGCGTGGTTGTTGTGGTGATCCTCACGCTGTGTGTGCGTGGTTGTTGTGGTTGTTGTTGTGGTGATCCTCACGCTGTGTGTGCCTGGTGGTTGTTGTTGTGGTTGTTGTGGTGATCGTCGCTGTGTGTGCGTGGTTGTTGTGGTTGTTGTTGTGGTGATCCTCATGCTGTGTGTGCGTGGTTGTTGTTGGGGTTGTTGTAGTGATCCTCACGCTGTGTGTGCGTGGTTGTTGTGGTGATCCTCACGCTGTGTGTGCGTGGTTGTTGTGGTTGTTGTTGTGGTGATCCTCACGCTGTGTGTGTGCGTGGTTGTTGTGGTTGTTGTGGTGATCCTCACGCTGTGTGTGCGTGGTTGTTGTGGTTGTTGTGGTTGTTGTAGTGATCCTCACGCGGTGTGTGCGTGGTTGTTGTGGTTGTTGTAGTGATCCTCACGCTGTGTGTGCGTGGTTGTTGTGGTTGTTGTTGTGGTGATCCTCACGCTGTGTGTGCATGGTTGTTGTTGTGGTGATCCTCACGCTGTGTGTGCGTGGTTGTTATAGTTGTTGTGGTTGTTGTAGTGATCCTCACGCGGTGTGTGCGTGGTTGTTGTGGTTGTTGTTGTGGTGATCCTCACGCTGTGTGTGCGTGGTTGTTGTTGTGGTTGTTGTGGTGATCCTCACGTGGTGTGTGCGTGGTTGTTGTGGTTGTTGTTGTTGTTCTGGCTGGCTCAGGACGAGAAGAAGAAGTTCGACAAGGAGAGCGAGAAGTACTACACCCAGCTGGAGAAGCACGTCAGCCTCTCTTCCAAGAAGAAGGAGACCCTCCTCACTGAGGTCATACCATTGGGCCCCGTCATTCCTTCACTCGTTCGTTCAGTCATTCGGTCGGTCGGTCGGTCTTTGGTTCACTCACCTGTTGGTTCTCTCGGTCATTTGTCCGCTTGCTCGTGCACTCGGTCAAGAATTCACTCATTAAGTCGCTCAGTCGTGGACTCGGTAATTCGTCCGTTCGTTCGTTCTGGAATTAATTCACTCGCTCGTTTGTGGAAATTCATTCGCTCATTCACCGACTCGCTCGCTCAAGTCGCTGTTTTCATTCATTCGCGATTCGTTTATTGGTCTCCATTCTCTCGTTCATAATCACAAAGACAAAGATTCTCACTCCCCCCCCCCCCCGTATAGCCTCAACAGACTGTTAAGGCAAGTGCTCTTCACGAGTAGTAGCACCTATGAAGGCCGACACGGCACATGAGGGGGTGGGTGGCCAGCACCACGCACGGCCGCCTTTGTCTCCCCAGTCCTGATATTTATACACAGACACACACATCTCCCTAGACACACATACAACAACAACAACAACCGCCATTCGCCACTAAGTGGCGGTGACGTCACCACGACGCCTGTGCCAGGCTATGTTAACTTTTAAAGGCCACGGGAAGTATCGAACGCCCGCTGGCGGGAGGTCACGGGACAGACCCAGGTGCCATGGGTTTACTGACTGAGACAGACACACACACACCTCCATAAAGATGCATGATGTGTTTGCCAGTGTACTTTAACCTGTACGGTTAATGTCATGATTGGACTTGTACTTTGAACCAGGCCCCAGTCTGTTTGTACACGCTCACACCCATACATGCCTACATACAAAGATAAATACAAAGATCCCCCATCCAGGCTTAATAGACTGTTGGGGAAAGTGCTGTAAGCGAGTTGCACCCACGGAGATCAACGACAACACCACGCCCGGCCGCCTTTGTCTCCCCAGTGGCGATGTTTACACACCGCACCAGGGTACTCATTTTGAGGCTGAGCCGACCTAAGGGGAAGGCCCAGGACCGGTGCAGGCATTCCCCGGCACTGTAACCAGGTATCGAACTCAGGCTTTGTAGGGCGTGGCACGTGAACCAATGCACCACCGCTCCCCCCCCCCCATATATACGCGCTGACACGTACACATTCACAGTGACAGAGGCCACACGGCAGCACAACGTTCCGCCAGAATCTTGTAACGTTATTGCCCCGACATTCGCAAACATTAACCAGGTTTCAGTCTTCACAGTCGCGGCGGGGTAGGGTGACGTTTGCTTATTGCCACTCTGTACGACATTCCACAATGCGTTACTTATTTTATACGCTCCAGAGGGCGATGACGACGACGATGATGATGATGATGCCTCTGCTGAGTATTAGCACGGTTGGCTATGTACGTTGCGAAAGAAGTTCAACGTACGTACATAGAAGGCTGCTGTTTGTGACGTTGACATTATTATTGATCGTGGTGGTTGATGCTGCTGATCGTAATCAGCTGATGCTCCCTATGTGAATAATATCGATGCTGATGGGGATGATGATACTTTTGCTGATGATAATGATGGTGATACCATTGATGATGATGGTCGCGATGAGTGAGATGCTGATGTTGATGAAGGTGCTGCTGATGCCGCTGCCGATGATAGTATTGATGGTGATGGGTAATGAGTAACACTGATATTTATTATATTTTTCTCATTATGATAATTCCTGTGACGGTGATACCATTGATGATGATCCTGATGAGTGTGATACTGATGTTGATGATGATTATTCTGATACCGCTGCTGCTGATTATAATATTGATGGTGATGGGTAATGAGTGACTATTGTTGATGATAATTCTGCTGATGCTGCTGCTGCTGCTGATTATGATGATGTTTGGGAGCAGACTCAGCCATGGGGAGCGGTGGCAATTCCTGCACAATCGAACCCGAGTTCGATTCCCACTCCATGGCCACCGCACAGCGAATATCTAAACCGGTCCTGGGCCTCCCCCTAGATCAATTCGGCCCTAAATGAGTAGTTGGTGTGGCCTGTGCAAACGTGAGCTCTGGGGAGACAAGGACGGTCCTGTGTATGTGTATGGTGCTTGCAACAACCCCACCCATGTGTGTGCTGTGCCGGCCTTAATAGGTGTTCGCTAACTGTGACAGCCTCTGTGGTTTATTCGGGGGTCGTCTGAATTGGTTTGTGGGAGGGGGGGGGGGGGGGTCGGGGGGCAGTTCTGGCTGTGTTCGCCTGGTTCTGAGCGTGTGGGTGAGTGAGCAGTGGATAGACCCTGGCTGATGATGGTGATGATGGCCCTCATCCAGCAGTGGATAGACCCTGGCTGATGATGGCCCTCATCTAGCAGTGGATAGACCCTGGCTGATGATGGTGGGGGAGGCCTTTATCCAGTAGACGATTGACCATTTGCTGGCAGCCCCTCACACTGACTGATGCTCCCCAACCTGAAAATTGTTGTCTGCGTCTGTCCGTGTCTGCGCGTGTGCCTGCGAATGCCTGCGTGTGTCTGTGGGTGTGTCCGTCTGCGTGTGTCTGTGTGTGTCTCATGCCTGCGTGTGCCTGCGTGTGTCTGCGTGTGTCTCTGCGTGCGTCTGCGTGTGTCTCTGCCTGCGTGTGTCTGTGTGTGTCTCTGCCTGCGTGTGTCTGTGTGTGTCTCTGCCTGCGTGTGTCTGTGTGTGTCTCTGTGTGTGTCTCTGCCTGCGTGTGTCTCTGCCTGCATGTGTCTGCGTGTGTCTCTGCCTGCGTGTGTCTGTGTGTGTCTGTGTGTGTGTCTCTGCCTGCGTGTGTCTGTGTGTGTCTCTGCCTGCGTGTGTCTCTGCCTGCGTGTGTCTCTGCCTGCGTGTGTCTGCTTGTGTCTCTGCCTGCGTGTGTCTCTGCGTGTGTCTCTGTGTGTGTCTCTGTGTTTGTCTCTGCCTGCGTGTCTCTGTGTGTGTCTCTGCCTGTGTGTCTCTGTGTGTGTCTCTGCCTGCGTGTGTCTCTGCCTGTGTGTCTCTGTGTGTGTCTCTGCCCGCGTGCGTCTGCTGTGCAGGCCGACACGCAGCTGGAGGTGACGCGGAGGCACTTCAACGAGGTGTCTCTGCAGTACGTGTGCAAGGTGCAGGAGGTGCAGGAGCGCAAGAAGTTTGAGTTTGTGGAGCCGGTGAGGTCGTCGTCACGCTCTTCGTCAGCGCCGTCATCGTCAGCATCGTGGACTTAATGATCGTCCTCAGTGTTGTCTTCATCATCATCAGTGATGTCTTCATCATCATCATCAGTGATGTCTTCATCATCAGTGATATCTTCATCATCATCAGTGATGTCTTCATCATCATCATCAGTGTCGTCTTCATCATCAGTGTTGTCTTCATCATCATCATCATCAGTGATGTCTTCATCATCATCATCAGTGTCGTCTTCATCATCAGTGATGTCTTCATCATCATCATCATCAGTGTCGTCTTCATCATCATCATCAGTGATGTCTTCATCATCATCAGTGATGTCATCATCAGTGATGTCTTCATCATCATCATCAGTGATGTCTTCATCATCATCAGTGTCGTCTTCATCATCAGTGATGTCTTCATCATCATCATGAGTGATGTCTTCATCATCATCATCAGTGTCGTCTTCATCATCAGTGATGTCTTCATCATCATCATGAGTGATGTCTTCATCATCATCATGAGTGATGTCTTCATCATCATCAGTGTCGTCTTCATCATCATCATCAGTGATGTCTTCATCATCATCAGTGTCGTCTTCATCATCATCAGTGATGTCTTCATCATCATCATCATCAGTGATGTCTTCCTCATCATCATCAGTGATGTCTTCATCATCATCAGTGATGTCTTCATCATCATCATCATCAGTGATGTCTTCATCATCATCATCATCAGTGTCATCTTCATCATCAGTGATGTCTTCATCATCATCATGAGTGATGTCATCATCATCATCAGTGTCGTCTTCATCATCATCATCAGTGATGTCTTCATCATCATCATCATCAGTGTCGTCTTCATCATCATCAGTGATGTCTTCATCATCATCAGTGATGTCTTCATCATCATCAGTGTCGTCTTCATCATCATCAGTGTCGTCTTCATCATCAGTGATGTCATCATCATCAGTGATGTCTTCAACATCATCATCATCAGTGATGTCTTCATCATCATCAGTGATGTCTTCATCATCATCAGTGATGTCTTCATCATCATCATCAGTGATGTCATCATCATCAGTGTCGTCTTCATCATCATCAGTGTCGTCTTCATCATCATCAGTGTCGTCTTCATCATCATCAGTGATATCTTCATCATCATCAGTGATGTCTTCATCATCATCATCAGTGACGTCTTCATCATCATCAGTGATATCATCATCAGTGATGTCATCATCATCAGTGTCGTCTTCATCATCATCAGTGATGTCTTCATCATCATCATCAGTGATGTCATCATCATCAGTGATGTCTTCATCATCATCAGTGATGTCTTCATCATCATCAGTGTCGTCTTCATCATCATCAGTGTCGTCTTCATCATCATCAGTGATATCTTCATCATCATCAGTGATGTCTTCATCATCATCATCAGTGACGTCTTCATCATCATCAGTGACGTCTTCATCATCATCATCAGTGATGTCTTCATCATCATCAGTGATGTCTTCATCATCATCAGTGATGTCTTCATCATCATCATCAGTGTTGTCTTCATCATCATCGGTGATATCATCATCGGTGATGTCTTCATCATCATCGTAGCCGTGTGTAAGCTCCTTCTCCCCGTGTCTTCCCCTCTCACAGCTGTTGGCCTTTCTCCAGGGTCTCTTCACGTTCTACCACCAGGGCTATGAGCTCGCCAAGGAGTTCCACCACTACCAGCACTTCCTACAGGGAAACATCCAGAACGTGAGGCTGGGTGCATCTCTCCCACCCTTCGATCCGCCCGGCATGATGATCACCACCACCACCACCACCGCCTCCGCCATCATCATCATCATCACCATTATCATCATCCACCATCATCCACCACCATCTTCATCATCATCACCTCCACCATTATCATCATCCACCACCATCACCACCATCATCATCATCACCACCACCACCACCACAATCTTCACCAGCACCGCCTCCGCCATCATCATCATCATCACCAATATCATCATCCACCACCATCACCACCATCATCATCACCTCCACCACCATTATCATCCTCACCACCACCACCATCATCATCACCTCTACCACCATTACCATTCTCATCACCACCACCACCATCATCATCACCTCCACCATTATCATCAACACCACCATCATCATCACCTCCACCATTATCATCACCACCACCATCATCATCACCTCCACCATTATCACCACCACCACCATCATCATCACCTCCACCATTATCAACACCACCATCATTATCACCTCCACCATTATCATCAACACCACCACCATCGTCAATATCACCTCCACCAACATCATCCTCATCACCACCACCATCGTCATCATCACCTCCACCATTATCACCACCACCACCACCATCGTCATCATCACCTCCACCATCATCACCATCACCAGCCTACTGAGCTATTAGCTACTTTGTCAGAAGCGACCTGGCTTTCACAAAATGATAGCTCAACGAAGTTGCTTATCATCACGTGGACATTGACAGGAGCCAAATAATCTAAATATGTGTTCGCCAACAAGCCCCCATCCCCCCCCCCCCCTTGCCTCTTCAGTCTGCGAGACTACTCGGGGGATCTTTGTCCTTGTGTACCTCTTGTTGTTGTTATTGTCGTCGTTGTTTTGCCTGTTAGGATGGGGATGGTGTAGTTGTATTTGTTTGTGTTTGGGTCATGTGTTTACTTTGTTTACCTTGCTTGTACTTTACACGACTATCGGCTTTTCAAATTGTTTGTTGTCGTAGCGTTCTTACCCCGTGCCCCTCCTGGACATCTGTGAAAAAGAGCTTTACATCTCATCGGATTCCTCCCGGCGTGAATCATTATTTTGATTGTGTTTGTCGCCGGTGTAGACACGGGAGCGGTTTGAGAGCACACGCTCTGAGGTGGAGCAGCTGATGCAGAAGATGAACACCTCGTTCGGAGCGCGTGTCCCCCAGAAACCGTTCGCCATTGAGGGTTACCTCTTCATGCTGGAGAAACGTACGTCAGTGAGGAGTTTTCTTGCTCGCTCACTCGCTCGCTCAGTCACTCACCCAATCACTCACCCACTCACTCACCCACTCACTCACCCACTCACCCAATCACTCACCGAATCACTCACCCAATCACTCACTCACTCACTCACCTAATCACTCACCCACTCATCCAATCACTCACCCACTCACCCAATCACTCACTCACTCACTCACCGAATCACTCACCCACTCATCCAATCACTCACCCACTCACTCATCCACTCGCTCACCCAATGACTCACCAATGACTCACCATTTAACTCGCTCACTAACCCAATCACTCACCCACTCACTCACCCACCCACTCTCTCACTCACCCACTCACCCACTCACTCACTCACCCACTCACACTCACTCACCCACCCACCCACCCACTCACTCACCCACCCACCCACTCACTCACCCACCCACCCACCCACTCACCCACCCACCCACCCACTCACTCACCCAATCCTTCACCCACTCACCCAATCACTCACCCAATCACTCACCCACTCACTCACTCACCCACCCACCCACTCACCCACCCACTCACTCACCCAATCCTTCACCCACTCACCCACCCACTCACCCACCCACCCACCCACTCACTCACCCAATCCTTCACCCACTCACCCAATCACTCACCCAATCACCCACCCACTCACTCACCCACTCACTCACCCACCCACCCAATCACTCACCCACTCACCCAATCACTCACCCACTCACCCAATCACTCACCCACTCACCCAATCACTCACCCACTCACCAAATCACTCACCCACTAACGCGACTTCTTTGGCTGTGTTCTTTGCTCTAAAGCACCCGGTACAGAGACAAGGCCATGAAGGAGGTTGTTTCTGGTGTAGGCCAGTCAGTTTCAAGGACTACATTACATTAGTATAAAAAACAAGTGTTTGCTTGCATTGTCCCTGTACTGTCCTCCTATTGGAGTTGTTATCCAGTCTAAGGCTGGTGCAGCAGAGGCAAAGGCCATCAAAGAGACTGTAGCCCTGGTGTAGGCCCGTCGGTTTCAAGGACAATGGTTGCGTTATTTAATCAAAGCGTCTTTTCTTGCATCGTCCTTGTACTGTTGAAGCCGTTCTCTGGGCTAACCCTGGTGAGACAGAGGCCCTCAAGGAAGCTGTCTCTGTCTGTTTGGTGTTTCAACATCTTAGACACCTCCTTTATTCTTGCCGGAAATTATGTGAAGCCCATTCTTATATATATATAAACTTGTACAGTAAAAGCTTGGATTGCGAGTAACTTGGTCTGCGCGTGTTTCGCAAGACGAGCAAAAATGTTAAATGAATATTTAGTTGGTAAACGAGCGAGGATCTTGCAATACGTGCAGCGCACGTGTACACGCTTTGTACTGCCGAGCATCACGTGATCACAACTGATACACGAGCGCTTTGATGTACGAGCGCTTTGGATATTACAAACGCGTTTCCCGAACGAATTATGCTCGCAACCCAAGGCTTTACTGTATCTGTTTTTAAGCACGCTGCACCATTGCCTGCATGGGCGTTGAACTTCTTCTGCACCGTACGTGGCCAAACCGCGCCGAGCGGAGGGAGGTGCAGGGGACGGTCAGCAAGCTAAACACGGCGAGCAGTCCTGAAGAAATTCGTTTTAAATCGAGATAATTTAAAAGCGCACCGCTCCAATGGCTTCCTAACATATATTGTATAGAACTGATTTTTGCGTTCAGTTTGTTGCTGACCCCCCCCCCCCCTCGCCAAGGATCAACAAAACCGGCGCGTAAACTCGCAACGGGCGGCCTTTTGGCTGACCGCTTAAACAAAACCGGCGCTTTCGGCCGTCCGGAACGCCCTTTCTTCCCGATGCGAAAGAAGTTCAACGTACAGACGCACACGCGCGCGTGCGCCCCACGCACGCGCGTGGTCTTGAGACACGGGCACACGCACGTGGTCTTGAGACACACACACACGTAGACTTGAGACACACGCACGTGGTCTTGAGACACACACACACGTAGACTTGAGACACACACACGTAGTCTTGAGACACACACACGTAGTCTTGAGACACACACACGTAGACTTGAGACACACACACGTAGACTTGAGACACACACACGTAGACTTGAGACACACGCACGCAGTCTTGAGACACGGGCAAATGTTGTGAGCCACCCCCCTCCCTCCCCCCCCCGCCGCTTGCGTGTGTCCGCCGTGTGACGCGTTTGTGACGCCGTGTGACACCGTGATGCCGGCAGGTCACTTCGGCTCCGCGTGGGTGAAGCACTACTGCTGTTACAGCAAGAACACGGGACACTTCTCCATGCTCGCCTATGACCCGAAGCCGACGGGGAAGCTGGTAAAACGCCGCTCCACCACCACCACCACCCCGTGCAGCCCACGGGATCGAAGCGCGCGAGCGTTGCGCCGTTCGGCGAGTCTGCGCGAGCGTGTGGTGCGTGCGGGGAGGGAGGGTAGGGTCAGCGGCTCTGAGGCTGGGTTGTAGGACGTGGCAGGAAAGCACTGCGGTTGTGTGCGTGCGTGTGTGTAGTGGGGAGCGGTAGTGTAGCGGTTAGCGCTACGCTGCGCTATGAACCTGGCGACCCGGGTTCGATTCCCGCTCACGGCCAACACCAGTTTCGATTATCTGAACCGGTCCCGGGCCTCCCCTAGGTCGACTCAGCCTCATAATGAGTACCTGGTGCGGTGTGTAAACATTGCCACTGGGGAGACAAAGGCGGTCGGGCGTGGTGCTGGCCACCCACCCCCTCGTGTACCGTTCCGGCCTTCATAGGTGCTCGCTAACAGCACTTGCCCCTACAATCTGTTAAGGCTATAGGGGGGATCTTTGTCTTTGTAGTGTAGTGTAGCGGTTAGCGCTACGCTGCCTTACGAGCCCGGCGAACCGAGTTCGATTCCCGCTCGCGGCCAACACCACCGGTGACGATTGTCTGAAACGGTCCTGGGCCTCCCCTAGGTCGGCTCAGCCTCGAATGAGTACCTGTTGCCAGTGGTGTATGAACATCGCCACTGCCATGTGTACCGTCGCCCTCCAACAACAACGGAGGGCAAGGTAACAGCGAGCAGGGCGCCGGGCGACTAAAATGCAGCGAGTTGGCACAGTGGGGGGCACGGGTGGTGCATCTGCCTCTAGTCATCTCGGTCGGTCAACGCGTGGCACCTGCTGGGTCTGTCCCGTGACCTCCTGCTGCACCTAGCCTGGCACAGTAGGGGGGCACGGGTGGTGCATCTGGCAGTAGTCATCTCAGTCAGTCGACCCGTGGCACCTGCTGGGTATGTCACCGTGACCTCCTGGTGCACCTAGCCTGGCACAGTAGGGGGGCACAGGTGGTGCATCTGGCAGGTAGTCATCTCAGTCAGTCGACCCGTGGCACCTGCTGGCTATGTCACCGTGACCTCCTGGTGCACCTAGCCTGGCACAGTAGGGGGGCACAGGTGGTGCATCTGGCAGGTAGTCATCTCAGTCAGTCGACCCGTGGCACCTGCTGGGTCTGTCCCGAGATCTCTGGTCTCGGGACAGACCCAGCAACTTCACGTGGCCTCAAAGTGCACCTAGCCTGGCACAGGCGCCGTATTGACGTCACCGTCACTTAGTGGCGGATGGCGGTTGTTGTTGTTGTTTTGTGACTGTGTGTGTGTGGAGCGGCGGTGCAGCGGTTAGCGCTACGCTGCGCTACGAACCCGGCGACCCGGCTTCGATTCCCGCTCTCCACGGTCAACACCAGTGACCATTATCTGAACCGGTCCTGGGCCTCCCCTGGGTCGGCTCAGCCTCAAATGAGCACCCACGTTGCGGCGCGGCTGCTAGGCCGTGGGAAGGTGCCGCCGACGACCCAACCCCCATCCTGTGCCTCGTCGGCCTTTCGTGGGAGCTGCTCGCTTAGCAGCAGCGCTTGGCCCGACAACTCCGTTAAGGCTACACGCGTTGGTGGTGGTGGGGGCCGGGGGTCTTTGTCTCTTGTGTCCGCGTGTCAGAACGGACTGGTGTTGAGTCCGCAGGGAGAGCGGGACTCCTTCCAGCTCAAGTCGTGCGTGCGCCGCAAAACCGACTCCATCGAGAAACGCTTCTGCTTCGACATCGAGGCCATCGACAGGTCGGAGACACACGTGCGACACCCGACGCACTTTGCGTGGCACGGGGCCACGCGACATGTGACAGCTGGCACACGTGGCATTGGGCACGTGACGGGGTGACACGTGGCATGTGACACGTGACGGGGTGACACGTGGCATGGGACACGTGACGGGGTGACACGTGGAATGTGACACGTGGCATTGGACACGTGACGGGGTGACACGTGGCATGTGACACGTGACGGGGTGACACGTGGCATGGGACACGTGACGGGGTGACACGTGGCATGTGACACGTGACGGGGTGACACGTGGAATGTGACACATGGCATGGGACACGTGACGGGGTGACACGTGGCATGTGACACGTGACGGGGTGACACGTGGCATGTGACACGTGACATGGGACACGTGACGGGGTGACACGTGGCATGTGACACGTGACGGGGTGACACGTGGCACGGGACATGGGACAAGGAACAATGGGACATGTAGCATGTGATATGACATGAGGCACGCAACATCCAACACTTATAATGATGATAATGCTGCTGATGATGATGATGCTTCTGCTGATGAGACTGATTCTGATGATTATGTTGCTGCTGATGATGGATGTTGTTTAGAATGTTGATAATGCTGATAATGTTACCGGCATTGATAATAATGCTGCCGTTGCTGATGATGATGATGCTACTTAAAACGATGATGATGCTGCTTGTGCTGATGATGCTACTTCTAATGATTATGTTGCTGCTGATGATGGATGTTGTTTAGAATGTTGATGATGCTGATAATGTTACCGGCATTGATAATGCCACCACCGCTGATGATGATGATGCTACTTAAGACGATAGCGATGCTGCTGCTGATGATGATGCTGCTGCTTCTGCTGATGATGCTGATTCTGATGATTATGTTGCTGCTGATGATGGATGTTGTTTAGAATGTTGATGATGCTGATAATGTTACCGGCATTGATAATGCCGCTGCTGATGATGATGCTACTTAAGACGATGACGATGCTGCTGCTGATGATGATGATGCTGCTGATGATGATGATGATGCTGATGATGATGGTTCTGCCTTCCAGACCAACCATCATGACCCTGCAGGCGCCCTCAGAGGATGAGCGGAAGTTGTGGATGGAAGCGATGGATGGCAAAGAGCCCGTGAGTCTCAACCCATGGAGAGACACTGAGCCGTCGTGCGGACATTACACATTCCTCTGACGGGGGACAGGACATCCAAATTATATACGCCTGTTGTATATTTGTGGTCACGTGGATTTTTCCTCCGGGCCCACCGGTTTTTTGCCCCCTCCACATTGAGACTCAACATCCACGCGTTTATAGTGTTTGGCTGTTTATTGGCCCAATAACACCTTGGCACGGTGGCTAGGAGATGTTAACTACCTCGCGTGGTACGCAGGAGGTCGTGGGTTTCTATCCTGACCCTGACGCCTGCTGTATATTTGGAGTTTGCGTGTCTCTCTCTCTCCCCTTGGTGAGATGTTAACTACCTCGCCTGGAACGCAGGAGGTCGTGGGTTCGATCCCGACCCTGATACCTGCTGTATATTTGGAGTTTGCGTGTCTCTCTCTCTCCGTGGTCGCGTGGATTATTTTCCGCGTCTTCCGGTTTTCCCCTCCACGTTTAGAATAAACTTTGCGCTTCGAGTGTTTGAGCTTTCATTTGTGGCCAGGTCGCTTCTAAAAAAGAGAGCTGTATACATCAGTGGGCCTTACATGGTGAACTAAAAACATCGTTTAAATATTCATATTCTTGGTTCTCTCGGTAAAGTCACGTAGAAGGGAAACAATAAAATAAAATAAAAAAAAATATAAAACAAAATTCTCACGACGTTTCGACTGCAACACAAGCAATCATCATCAGATGTGAAAACCACAGCAAGAAAATTTGTGACTTTACCGAAAGAACCAAGAATATGAATCCTTGCAGTCACGAAAGCTTTGAATTGTTTAAATAGTTTTTAAATATCAAGGAAAACCTCAATGAGCCTCATTACTTTCTGTCAGCAGGATCTTGCGACACTGGAATGTTTGACCATGAATTACATTGGCTTTGTGTGTTTCTATGTGGGTTTCTGGGTCTCTGTTAGTCTACGAGCCTCTGTATGAGCCTCTGGGTCTCTGTGAGTCTCTGCAGGTCTCTGTGTGAGTCTATGGGTCTCTGTGATTCTATGGGTCTCTCTTTAAGTCTAGGGGTTTCTGTGTGAGTCTATTAGTGTTTATGTGAGCCTATGGGTCTCTGTGGGAGCTTATGGTTCTCTCTGTAAGTCTATGGGTTTCTGTGAGTCTATGGGTTTCTGTGTGAGTCTATGGGTTTCTGTGTGAGTCTATGGGTCTCTCTGTGAGCCTATGCATCTGTGTAAGCCTATGGTTCTGTGTGAGTATGGGTTTCTACGTGAGTCTGTGGGTCTCTGTGTAACCCTATGGGTCTCTGTGCGAGTCTATGGGTCTCTGTGTGAGCCTGTGGGTCTCTGCGGGTAGTCTATGGGTCTATGTCATACACACCCACAATGAGAGAGTGTCTTTGTGTTGGAGGGGGTAACTCGTTAGCCCAAGAGAGAATTGTTTTATTTTTATAATACAATTAATTATATTTGTTCGTGTGTTTTGCAGGTTTACACAATGCCAAGACTAAACAGCAAGCGGGAGGAGAGTAAGTTTAGAAAATATTTTATGTTTAAGGAACAGCTGGGTTGCTTCTTATCGTCCGTGTTGGTCTGTACGTCTGTGTGTTTGCGCACTTGTGGGGAGCGGTAGTGTAGCGGTTAGCGCTACGCTGCGCTATGAACCTAGCGTCCCGGGTTCGATTCCCGCTCACGGCCAACACCAGTGACGATTATCTGAACCGGTCCTGGGCCTCCCCTAGGTCGACTCAGCCTGAAATGAGTACCTGGTGCGGTGTGTAAACATCGCCACTAGGGAGACAAAGGCGGTCGGGCGTGGTGCTGGCCACCCACCCCCTCGTGTACCGATCCAGCCTTCATAGGTGCTGCTTGCTAACAGCACTTGCCCCTACAGTCTGTTAAGGCTACACGGGGGATCTTTTTTTGTCTCCAGCACCACTAGTGAACTCACCACACAGCTCACCACTAGTGAACTCACCACACAGCTCACCACTAGTGAACTCACCCGCACACCTCACCAGCAACAGTACTCATCACCACCGGTCAGGGTCCGAGCCAGTGCTGGGTATTTAAAGCGCGGCGAGTTGATTTATTTCGGGCCCAGTCACCTGTGAGTGGCTGCACACAACAGCAGAAATTCCCGTCGTAGTAGTGTTAGCGGTGACTTCCACTTCATTTGGCAAAAAAAAATTGCAGCTCTGGAGATTTTTTGTTCAACGCTTTGGTTCAACGCTCGTGCGACGCGGCAACTTTGGGAAGCACTGCCCTCTGCTGCGTGTAGACCAGATTGTGACTTGACGAAGAAATGGAACTCAGAGGTAGTTCTATGACATCCGCTTCCACGGGGTCGTTCTGTTAGTGAACCAGAGCGTCACTTGAAGAAGAAGAAGGGGATCTCAGAGGTAGCTCTCTGACATCCGCTTCCACGGGGTCGTTCTGTTAGTGAACCAGAGCGTCACTTGACGAAGAATGGGATCTCAGAGGTAGCTCTATGACATCCGCTTCCACGGGGTCGTTCTGTTATTGTACCAGAGCGTCACTTGAAGAAGAAGGGGCACTCAGAGGTAGCTCTCTGACATCCGCTTCTGTAGGCCGTTCTGTTAGTGAACCACAGCATCACTTGGACAAAGTCAAAAGATAATTTACTGACCTCTCCTGTGTGTTTCAATATTCCCCTTTCCAGCGCAACTCAATGATTTGGGATTCAACTTTGTAAGAAAGTGCATCTCTGCGGTTGAGACGAGAGGTGAGTGTGAATTCAAATATCTTTGTAGAAGTCTATGGGTCTCTGAAACTGTGTGAGTCTTTGGTCTGTGTGAGTCTATTGATCTCTGTGTAAGTCTATGGGTCTCTACGTGAGTCTATGGGTCTGTGTGAGTCTATGGTTCTCTGTGTGAATCTACGGGTCTCTGTGTGAGTCTGCGGGTCTCTGTGTGAGTCTATGGGTATCCCTGTGAGCCTGTGTCTATGTCGGCCTCTGTGCCTGTGTGAGTCTATGGTCTCTGTGAGTCTTTGGGTCTCTGTGTGATTCTATGGGTCTCTGTACGAGTCTATGGGTCTCTGTGTGAGTCTATGGGTCTCTATGTGAGTCTATGGGTCTCTATGTGAGTCTATGGGTCTCTTTGTGAGTCTATGGGTCTCTGTGTGAGTCTATGGGTCTCTGTGTGAGTCTATCGGTCTCTGTGTGAGTCTATGGGTCTCTGTGTGAGTCTATGGGTCTCTGTGTGAGTCTGAGTCTCTGTGTGAGCCTTTGTGGCTCTGTGTGGGTCTATGGGTCTCTGTGTGAGTCTATGGGTCTCTGTGTGAGTCTATGGGTCTCTATGTGAGTCTATGAGTCTCTGTGTGAGCCTTTGTGTCTCTGTGTGGGTCTATGAGTCTCTGTGTGAGCCTTTGTGTCTCTGTGTGGGTCTATGGGTCTCTGTGTGAGCCTTTGTGTCTCTGTGTGGGTCTATGGGTCTCTGTGTGAGTCTATCAGTCTCTGTGTGAGTCTATGGGGTCTCTGTGTGAGTCTATGGATCTCTGTGTGAGTCTATAGGTCTCTGTGTAGTCTATAGGTCTCTCTGTGAGTCTATGGGTCTCTGTGTGAGTCTATCAGACTCTGTGTGAGTCTATGGGTCTCTGTGTGAGTCTATGGGTCTCTGTGTGAGTCTATCAGTCTCTGTGTGAGTCTATGGATCTCTATGCAAGTCCATGGGTCTCTGTGTGAGTCTATGGGTCTCTGTGTGAGTCTATGGGTCTCTGTGTGAGTCTATGGGTCTCTGTGTGAGTCTATGGGTCTCTGTGTGAGTTGCCGTCTCATTGGCTGCTGCGTGTTCTCACTACTCAGCGCTTTGTGGATTTTTTTTACATTTTATTTTCTTGAAAAAAATGACTCCAGGAGCAAGACCGCTCTTAACGCATTGGCGCTCTACGGGGTCACGCTTAGCGAAGTCTGCTTGTATTGTGCCACGGTGGCTATGAGATGTTAACTACCTCGCCTGGTGTGAAGGAGGTCGTGGGTTCGATCCCGATCCTGACGATGCCTGCTGTATATTTGAAGTTTGCGTGTTTCTCTCTCCCCGTGGTCGCGTGGATATTCTCCGGGCCCTCCGGTTTTTCCCTCCACATTTAGAATCAACGTCACTCGTTCAGAGTATTTGGCTGCTATACATTTCCACGCGATGATGATAAGCCACTTCGTTGAGCTATCATGTGTGGCCAGGTCGCTTCTGAAAAATAGCTACATAGCTCAGTGGGGCCTTACCTGGTAAAATAAAAGATAGTTTTTAAATAGTTTAGTTTGATGTTTTCCCGAATGACGTGAGCATTTGCTTCCGTGTCCTGCGTCTTGACACGTGCTACCGACGGTGTTTGTTGCCTTGGATGTGAACTCAGGTGTGACCACTCAAGGTCTGTACCGGATCGTAGGGGTCAGCTCGAAAGTGCAGAAGTTGCTGAGTCTGGCTGTGGGTAAGGGCTGCGCCGACGGTGATTCGTAACGCGCATTGTGTCGTGAGGCCCTCCGCCACACCGGCAGCGATGGCAACATCATGATCGTTGTTGTCAATACCGCCACAACTACCATCACGCCTGTCATCGTCACCATCATGGTCACCATCGTGGTCGTTAACACCGCCACAACTACCATCACGCCTGTCATCGTCACCATCATGGTCACCATCGTGGTCATCAACACCGCCACAACTACCATCACGCCTGTCATCGTCACCATCATGGTCACCATCGTGGTCATCAACACCGCCACAACTACCATCACGCCTGTCATCGTCACCATCATGGTCACCATCGTGGTCGTCAACACCGCCACAACTACCATCACGCCTGTCATCGTCACCATCATGGTCACCATCGTGGTCATCAACACCACCACGACTACCACCGCTTCTGTCGTCATCATCATCAACTTCATCATCGTCATCATCACCATCAGTGTCATCAACACCACCACGGCTAGCACCGCTACTGTGATCATCATCATCAACTTCATCATCGTCATCATCACCATAATTGTCATCAACACCACCACGGCTAGCACCGCTACTATGATCATCATCATCAACTTCATCATCGTCATCATCACCATCATTGTCATCAACACCACCACGTCTACCACCGCTTCTGTCATCATCATCATCAACTTCATCATCGTCATCAACACCATCATTGTCATCAACACCACCACGGCTAGCACCGCTACTATGATCATCATCATCAACTTCATCATCGTCATCAACACCATCATCCTCATCATCACCATCATTGTCATCAACATCACCACGACTAGCACCGCTACTATGATCATCATCATCAACTTCATCATCGTCATCATCACCATCAGTGTCACCAACACCATCACGACTACCACCGCTTCTGTCATCATTATCATCATCAACTTCATCATCGTCATCAACACCATCATCGTCATCATCACCGTCATCGTCATCAACACCACCACGGCTCGAACCTCTTCTGTCATCATCATCATCATCGACTTCATCGTCGTCATCATCGTTGTTATCATCGTCGCACCGTTTGTAATAATTCCTGCTATATTTTTGGGGGGTCCCTTTGCCTTCGTCGACCAGACCCCAAAACGGCGACGGAAGTGGACCTGGAGAATCCCCAGGACTGGGACATCAAGACGATCACCAGCGCCCTCAAGAGCTACCTGAGGTACGTGCGGCGGACTTTCCCCGTTACCGTGGCGGTCGGGGCGGGGGGGGGGGGGTTGGGCCAGGACGGCGCCGCTGTTGGTTGTTGCGCCGCTCGGAGGTCGGCGAGTCTGTGCCGGCGTGGTGCGGCGTGGAGGATATTAAGGGGGGGGGGGGGGGAGATAAGCAACTTGGGGGTTTGGTTTTAGGATGTGGCGGGGGAAGCACTGCAGGTGTGTGTCTGTGTTGCCGAGTCTGCGTGCGTGTGTGTGTGTGTGTCTCTGTGTGTGTGTGTGTGTCTCTGTGTGTGTCTCTGTGTGTGTGTGTGTGTCTCTGTGTGTGTCTCTGCCTGCGTGTGTGTGTGTGTGTCTCTGCGTCCGTGTGTCTGTGTGTGTGTGTGTTTCTGTGTGTGTGTGTCTCTGTGTGTGTCTGTGTGTGTGTGTGTCTCTGTGTGTGTCTCTGCCTGCGTGTGTCTGTGTGTGTCTCTGTGTGTGTCTCTGCCTGCGTGTGTCTGTGTGTGTCTCTGTGTGTGTCTCTGCCTGCGTGAGTCTGCGTGTGTGTGTGTCTCTGTGTGTGTCTCTGTGTGTGTCTCTGTGTGTGTCTCTGCCTGCGTGAGTCTGCGTGTGTGTGTGTCTCTGTGTGTGTCTCTGCCTGCGTGTGTCTGTGTGTGTCTCTGCCTGCGTGAGTCTGTGTGTGTCTCTGTGTGTGTCTCTGCCTGCGTGAGTCTGCGTGCGTGTGTGTGTGTCTCTGCCTGCGAGTGTCTGCGTGGGTGTGTCTGTGTGTGTCTCTGCCTGCGTGAGTCTGTGTGTGTCTCTGCCTGCGTGTGTGTGTGTGTCTCTGTCTGTGTGTGTCTGTGTGTGTCTCTGTGTGTGTCTGTGTTGCCGAGTCTGCGTGCATGTGTGTGTCTCTGTGTGTGTCTGCGTGCGTGTCTCTGCGTGTGTCTCTGTGTGTGTCTCTGCCTGCGTGTGTCTGCGTGCGTGTGTGTCTCTGCCTGCATGTGTCTGTGTGTGTCTCTGCCTGCGTGTGTGTGTGTGTGTCTCTGTGTGTGTCTCTGTGTGTGTCTCTGCCTGCGTGAGTCTGCGTGGGTGTGTGTGTGTGTCTCTGCGCGTGTGTAGAGGTCGCGGTTAGCGCTACGAACCCGGCGACCCGAGTTTGATTCCCGCTCACGGGCAACACCGGTGACGATTATCTGAACCGGTCCCGGGCCTTCCCCTAGGTCGACTCAGGCTCAATTGAGTACCTGGCGCGGTGTGTAAACATTGCCACTGGGGAGACAAAGGCGGTCGGGCGTGATGCTGGCCACCCACCCGCTCGTGTACCGTTCTGGCCTTCATAGGTGCTGCTCGCTAACAGCACTTGCCCCTACAGCCTCTTGAAGGCTACACGGGTGATCTTTTGTCTTTGTCTGTTTCGTTATGACCCCGTAGGACTCTACCCGAACCCCTGATGACTCATCAGCTGCACGGGAGCTTCATTCTTGCCGCAAGTACGAGAGCACCAGAGACACGATGTGCCTACGATGTGTCTGAGAATGTCTTGTGACGTGTCCGAGTGTGCGTTGGCTGGGTCACGTAGCCCGCATGCCCAGCCACCGCATGCCTCTAAACAGCTTTTGTTCGGTCGGATCGAGGGGGCTGAACGGGCGCGGCACGGGCTTAGAGAAGAGATGGAGTGATGTGGTACAGGAGGACGTGGCGCTGAGTGGACTTGCCGATGACTGGTAGGAGGAGGAAGCTCGTGAAGGACGCTGCTGGGCAGTTGGAGGCAGTCGCCCTCCAACAACAATGGGCGGCAGAGGAGCGACGCTCACAACAACGAGCGGAGCGCCGGGTGGCTAAAATACAGCAGGTTGGCACAGTAGAGGGTACAGTCAGTCGACCCGTGGCACCTGGGTCTGCTCCGTGACCTCCTGCCAGCCGGCGTTCGACACTTCACGTGGCCTTAATGTGCACATAGCCTGGCACAAGCATCGTGGTGACGTCACCGCCACTGAGTAGCGAATGGCGGTTGTTGTTGTTGTCTGTGTGTGTCTTGTAATGATGTGTCTCGTGTGACCACGTGTCTGTGCGATGACGATGTATCTCCATGACGACGTGTTTGTGACGATGTGACGACGACGTGTCTCCGTGACGACGTGTCTGTGACGATGACGATGTGACGATGACGACGTGTCTCCATGACGACGTGTCTCATGTAACGACGTGTCTGTGACGATGACGATGTGACGACGACTTGTCTCCATGACGACGTATCTCCGTGACGATGACGACGTGTCTCCGTGACGATGACGACGCATCTCCATGACGACGTGTCTCCGTGACGATGACGACGCGTCTCCATGACGACGTGTCTCTGTGATGATGATGACGCGTCTCCATGACGACGTGTCTCCGTGACGACGTGTCTCCGTGACGATGACGACGCGTCTCCGTGACGACGCGTCTCCGTGACGACGTGTCTCCGTGACGATGACGACGCGTCTCCGTGACGACGTGTCTCCGTGACGACGGCAGAGCTGGAGAACCCGGAGAGCCGTGTGAAGGCGGTCCACGCGCTCGTTTACCAGCTGCCCGATGCCAACCGCGACATGCTGCAGCTCATCGTCCACCACCTCATCGTGTAAGCCTCCTCCTCCTCCACACGGGGCGTGCGCCGTGTGTGCGGCGGTGACGACGACGACGATGATGACGATGTGGGGGTGTGTAGAGTGGCGAGTCACAACAAGCTGAACCTCATCATCATAGTGACGACGACGATGATGATGACGATGTGGGGGTGTGTAGAGTGGCGAGTCACAACAAGCTGAACCTCATCATCATAGTGACGACGACGATGATGATGACGATGTGGGGGTGTGTAGAGTGGCGAGTCACAACAAGCTGAACCTCATCATCATAGTGACGACGACGATGATGATGGTGCCGAAGATGGTGATGATGATAATGGTGGTGGTGATGATGGTGACGACGACAATGATGATGGTGCTGATGATGATGATGGTGGTGTGTTTAGAGTGGCGAGTCACAATAAACAGAACCTCATGATCATAGTGACAATGATGACGACGATGATGATGCTACTGATGATGACGATGATGATAATGGTGCTGATGGTGGTGTGTGTCGAATGGCGAGTCACAACAAGCTGAACCTCATGATCATAGTGATAATGATGACGACGATGATGGTGCTACTGATGATGACGATGATGATAATGGTGCTGATGATGATGATGACGATGATGATGACGACCACGATGATGATGGTGCTGATGGTGGTGTGTGTAGAGTGGCGAGTCACAACAAGCAGAACCTCATGACGGTGGCCAACCTGGGCGTGATCTTCGGCCCGACGCTCATGCGGCCCCAGGAGGAGTCAGTCGCCGCCATCATGGAGATCAAGTTCCACAACATCGTCATCGAGATCCTCATCGACAACTCGGAGAAGGTGCAGCTCACTCGCTCACTCGTTCACTCGCTCACTCACTCGCTCGCTCACTCTCTCCTCTCGCTCACTTACTCCCTCACTCACTCACTCACTCCCCTCACTCACTCCCCTCACTCGCTGTCTCACTCATTCACTCCCTCCCCTCACTCACTCCCTCACTCACTCCCCTCACTCGCTCACTCACTCATTCACTCCCTACCCTCACTCCCCTCACTCACTCCCTCCCTCCCCTCGCTCACTCACTCACTCCCCTCACTCACTCTCTCACTCCCCTCACTCGCTCACTCACTCACTCCCCTCACTCACTCCCCTCACTCACTCACTCACTCCCTCACTCACTCCCTCACTCACTCACTCCCCTCACTCACTCCCCTCACTCACTCACTCACTCCCTCACTCACTCACTCACTCACTCCCTCCCCTCACTCCCCTCACTCACTCACTCCCCTCTCTCACTCACTCACTCCCCTCACTCGCTCCCCTTACTCACTCACTCCCCTCCTTCACTCACTCACTCACTCCCTCATTCACTCACTCACTAACTCCCCTCACTCACTCCCTCCCCTCACTCACTACCCTCTCTCACTCCCCTCACTCACTCACTCACTCCCCTCACTCACTCCCTCACTCACTCCCTCACTCACTCCCTCCCCTCTCTCACTCCCCTCATTCCCCTCTCTCACTCCCCTCACTCATTCCCCTCACTCGCTCACTCACCCACTCAACCACTCACTCCCTCCCCTCACTCGCTCACTCCCCTCACTCGCTCACTCCCTCCCCTCTCTCACTCACTCCCTCACTCACTCACTCCCCTCTCTCACTCACTCACTCCCCTCACTCGCTTACTCACCCACCCACTCACTCACTCCCCTCACTCGCTCACTCCCTCACTCACTCACTCCCTCACTCACTCACTCCCCTCACTCACTCACTCACTCCCTCACTCACTCACTCACTCCCTCCCCTCACTCCCCTCACTCACTCCCCTCTCTCACTCACTCACTCACTCCCCTCACTCGCTCCCCTTACTCACTCACTCCCCTCCTTCACTCACTCTCTCAATCCCTCACTCACTCACTCCCTCCCCTCACTCACTACCCTCTCTCACTCACTCACTCACTCCCCTCACTCACTCACTCACTCCCCTCACTCACTCCCTCACTCACTCCCTCACTCACTCCCCTCACTCACTCCCCTCACTCACTCACTCCCCTCTCTCACTCTCTCACTCCCCTCACTCACTCCCTCACTCCCTTCCCTCTCTCACTCCCCTCATTCCCCTCTCTCACTCCCCTCACTCATTCCCCTCACTCGCTCACTCACCCACGCACCCACTCACTCACTCCCCTCACTCGCTCACTCACTCACTCACTCCCCTCTCTCACTCACTCCCCTCATTCACTCACTCACTCCCCTTACTCACTCCCCTCTCTCACTCACTCACTCCCCTTACTCACTCCCCTCACTC